GGTTCGGGGCCTGTCATGGCCTCATCTGAGCCTTCTCGGGCTAATTCGTCCGCCTTTTCGTTGCCCTGAAATCTCTCATGGCCTGGAACCCAGGCTAAGGTCACCTTATTTTGACTACTTAGCTCTGTCAGGTCTTCTAGACAGTCTTTCACCAGTCGTGATTTGATTTCTGGTGAGAGAATTGCCTTTAGAGCTGCTTGGCTATCAGAGTATATGGCAATAGTTTTGCCTGATACTACTTACTCCATAATCTCTGGCTATTACTTCCACGCCCTCACCTGCATCCAACCTTTTTATGGCTTTTAACTTCTCCTCGATTGTTATAACAACTCTTTTTCTTTTATTTTTTCCTTATTACGACTATGATTCACTGTAATTAAATATGTATGTACCTATGTAACTTTGTAACTTATAAGCATGTACAAACACTGCTCTGCAGATAGAAATATAATAAAGAGGGATTCCCCTGTACCCATTCTGGGATTCCCCGTAATTACCCGATCTGTTAGACCTGATGCTCGAATAACATAACCTCGCTCGATTAATACGGATTTCAACGGCGGTATTAGTCAACTCAGATAATCCAGCGATCGGAAAATAGAGAGTCGGATAATCGAGGGTCTACTGTATAATCAATACAATTTTTACAACTATGAAAATCTAATAAAAAAACCATATGCAATAACAGTAGTTAATGTGATAAATACCAACCATTTTTCTTAGATGTTTGCTGAAGCAATTATCATAGAAAAACGAATGCATGTTTAAAAATTATTGACAAGTGATCCCATTAATAAATGTTTTCCTATTTTTCATATTTTTTTTTTTAATTACTAATATGTTCCGGACCTCAGAAAAAGTTGCAAAATTTAATTTACAATTATTTCAATTTAATAAATATTCCAACAAAGTTTGAAACCTTTTGTAATTAATGTTAATTGATTATCTCTAATGACTGGCCTACTACACGACATTGTATTTAGTTAATTAAAACAATCATTATTAAAAAAAACACCAGTTTACCATAAAAGTTTTCAGTAACAATCAAAACGAACGGTACAAAATAATATTCATATATTTTTACGCAACATGTTTACTTACATCTCTCAATTCACATTTCATCGACATTCTCTGTAATTACTGTTCAAATATAGAATAACTAAGTAAAAAAAAATAACGTACACTCGACTCTCTTTAGCGTTTAGGGACCGTAATTATCATTAAATTTGTTAAAATTATATGTACACAACTGTCGAGTAAGACGAAGTTTAATCATCCTTTAAACTCCGTTGAGCAATAAATGATTTTTTTTTTGACACTTAACTGCAGATGAATCGGAAACTGTTTAGAGATTACAGAAATTATTATAAATGATGTTGTAATAATTTAAGTTTTGTCGCATTTAAAGAAGAAATTGTTGGGCTTTTTATTTGTTAATAAATTATGTAATTTTGACTACATTCTGGTAAATTAGGTACGGTTTGTTTTTCTTCTAACGAAAGATTAGTTCATTCAAATCGATTTTTGTATTTTATAATCCTTTTTATTCTGTTGCTTTTATCAGTTTTTTTTTAGTATTTATTTTCCATTTTTTACACCTTATAAAGTTCTGACAAGATGAAACCTCTTGACATACTTTTCTTGTATTAAACTGAATAACTAATAAATGCTTATAAAGATTTGTATTATAATATTGTCCTGTTTTAACTTTATTATTTATCTATGTAAAACCCTAAGAAGTAAAAGACAGCTAGTGGGTTCACAATATAAAAACAAATATCGATAGAATATTGTATTATGTATAATTTATATATAGTCAATTTTCAGACAAAATAAAAAGTATATAAGTAATAAATTAAAAAGTAAACAATATGGTCTACTACAACAACATTAGTGTATTTACTAATATTTGCTTAAAATTGTTGCTTTCTATAGTCCTCTTTTAATATGTTTTTCCTAATATGTTGACTTGTAAATATATTATCGATGTTGCCAGTCGAATTACCATTCACTCGCATAAAAGGCCTATCACGTTAACAAAATCCCTGAGTCACATATCAATTTTAGAAGTTTTGAGATATCGTAATATTTATATGTACCTCCTTTATTAATATCCATATTTATTTTTCGTGTCTAAATTATGTCCTTTTCTTCTGAATCTGTTACCGAAACCAATTTATCTGCACACAGTAGTTATAGTAGTGTCCATTAGTACATTATCCACCTACCAACTATTTTTTCTTCGTTAACATATGCCTTTTTTTCTTGTGCGCTGCATTAGTGTAAGGTCAGTGAGCCAAACAAAAACAAACCAGTCTGTCAATGATTTTGCTACGTGTTACAACCTAAAATTGACACATGTCAAATAAAATTTTATCATTTGACGCTGTTATTACAAAAATAATGACAGTTCAGTCACAACTGTGCAATGTCAGCAAAATTAAAAGAAATGCTTGCTTGGGTTATGAGGTGATTAATGAAATAAATAACAGTTGTTCAAGAACTACTAACAACTTTATTTGGCTCATCTATTATGTCATCACTAATGCACCACATCAAACAACACTATCTAGAGGGCTGAGTACACAACTCGCAACCGAATAACCTTATATAATTTAATGATTACTTCCGAGAACAAATTGTTATGAAAAAGTTTTAATTTTATCATTATCAATGTTTAAAAAGTTATAAATTATAATTTGAAGCGATTCTCTTTTATCGTCGTATGCGAAAATATTTTAAAACACGAAAGGTCCTTAAAGTTAATTTGTTGTGACGGTGCTTTGTTTAAAATTGATAAAGAAGTATTATGTCTACCGGGAATTAACGTTTTTGATTATCTGACAGGAAAAATGAATTCAATTGAAACGTTTTTAGAATCTGGAAGTTAGAGAGGGAACGCACTCGGTCACTTGGAGTAAATTTTCATAACCTCAATTCAGTATGTCAGTCAATGATCACTTAAGTATTATTCTTTACAATAGAATAATGTAAAATAAACATTCAAATTTTACCTTTTATTATAGATGTGATGAATTATTTAAAAATATAAATATACAGAACGACAGAACGATATTTTGTGCTGTTTATTGACATAATTGATATTTTACCATTTGAACACACAGTTAAAAAAATGCAAGCACTGAATAACGGATATGCAGTCTCTGTCAAACTGTCAAACATTTAAATCTTGTAAATAGGTCGAAGATCGCATTTGAACCAACCCTCTTATATCAAAGAAAAGATAAATGGAAATTTCAGAATGATTATACGTTTCAATAAAATTAAAAATTGTGTACAAACATTAGTTAAAAATATTATGCTAAGGTGAACTTGTCTATATACATAAACTTTCGAAACTGTTCAAAAAAGCGGAAAGTTATTAATCATAATTGTTGTTCTGACCGAAAAATATCATAAAAATATAATTTTTGCATTAATAAGGATTAATAAAAACGAGTTTTTAATTTTATTGTTCGATTCTAGTACTTTTTAACAAAAATAAACAGTCTCGCGAAAATAAATTTTGTTGAAGCTTTAATTTTCAGGTTATTAATTTTAATATTGATGTCATAAAAACGTATAATATTGTCTGGTCTTAAATTATTCCTTTCGTATGCAAATATCGTTACAATTTATCAAACAATATGCTTGTATGGTAATATAAATGTAAAATAATCATCACAAAAACGTTATTTTTAACAAATTTAAATTACAATTGGAAATCTTTAAATAATTTGCCGCGAGACAAGAGTTTTTCATCTCTTAATTTGACTTGTATCTTGTCTCTTGTCTCTTGTCTCTTGTCTCTTGTCTCTTGTCTCTTGTCTCTTGTCTCTTGTCTCTTGTCTCTTGTCTCTTGTCTCTTGTCTCTTGTCTCTTGTCTCTTGTCTCTTGTCTCTTGTCTCTTGTCTCTTGTCTCTTGTCTCTTGTCTCTTGTCTCTTGTCTCTTGTCTCTTGTCTCTTGTCTCTTGTCTCTTGTCTCTTGTCTCTTGTCTCTTGTCTCTTGTCTCTTGTCTCTTGTCTCTTGTCTCTTGTCTCTTGTCTCTTGTCTCGTGTCTCTTGTCTCTTGTCTCTTGTCTCTTGTCTCTTGTCTCTTGTCTCTTGTCTCTTGTCTCTTGTCTCTTGTCTCTTGTCTCTTGTCTCTTGTCTCTTGTCTCTTGTCTCTTGTCTCTTGTCTCTTGTCTCTTGTCTCTTGTCTCTTGTCTCTTGTCTCTTGTCTCTTGTCTCTTGTCTCTTGTCTCTTGTCTCTTGTCTCTTGTCTCTTGTCTCTTGTCTCTTGTCTCTTGTCTCTTGTCTCTTGTCTCTTGTCTCTTGTCTCTTGTCTCTTGTCTCTTGTCTCTTGTCTCTTGTCTCTTGTCTCTTGTCTCTTGTCTCTTGTCTCTTGTCTCTTGTCTCTTGTCTCTTGTCTCTTGTCTCTTGTCTCTTGTCTCTTGTCTCTTGTCTCTTGTCTCTTGTCTCTTGTCTCTTGTCTCTTGTCTCTTGTCTCTTGTCTCTTGTCTCTTGTCTCTTGTCTCTTGTCTCTTGTCTCTTGTCTCTTGTCTCTTGTCTCTTGTCTCTTGTCTCTTGTCTCTTGTCTCTTGTCTCTTGTCTCTTGTCTCTTATGTCTTGACTCTTGTCTCTTATGTCTTGACTCTTATGTCTTGTATCTTGTCTCGTCTTTCGTCTCTCGTCTCTTGCCTCTTATGTCTTGTCTCTTGTATCTCGTCTCTCGTTTCTAGTTTCTAGTCTTCATCTCTTATCTCGCCTACTCTCGACGCGACGAGAGGAATATTATCCAAAATATCTCGAAAACACTCGAGACATCAAAAATGTCTGGTTTCTCGGGATCCTCTTGATCTTTCTCGACAAATGAAATTTTGGAATATTTTAAATTTTCAGTTTTCAGTGTTTTCCAAAAATTTGAATTTTTTAACACAAATATTTTTGATATATGCTTGTCTTAAAATTATACTGCCATTAATTTGCTGCTATTAAACTTTTTTTTTTATTATTCTCAGATCCAATCAAGATGGCATCGGACAACGTCGATCAGTACTCGCGCTACCACCACGACGATCGGGAACCGTTCGACTCAAACGCGAATTCCAGCGACTCGGATCAGGACAACTACGCGGCGTCCTCGCCTAAAACGGATCTGCCCAAACGGAACAAGAGGAAGAACTTCAAGCCGCGCTGCTCCAACGTTTCTTATCCGGAGAACGAGGGGTACAACAACGAGGCGCTGAATTTGAGCGAGTACAATGACAATAACAACGTTAATAATAACGTGAGGAGAAGAAAGACTACGGCGACCAGGAAGGTTGTGGTGGATCCCAGGTGGGTATTTGTTTCAATGTGCTTGTAAAGAATCGTTTAATTAAAATAGGTTTTCACTAGGAGAGCTGTTGTGTTTTCATTAGGAGATCGGGGCTTTCACTAGGTGATCTAGGCGTCCACTAGGTGATATGGGAGTTTACTAGAAGAACTGTGCCTTCACTAAGAAAGCTACGCTCCTACTGGGAGAACTGGGCGTTCATTAGAAGAACTGGGAGTTCATTAAGATAACTGTGCTTTCACTAGAACATCTGGGCTTTTACTGGGAGAGCTGTGCTTTCACCAGGAGAGCTGTGCTTTCACCAGGAGAGCTGTGCTTTATATAGGAGAACTGGGCTTTATCTAGAAGATCTGCGCGTTTACTAGGAGTGGTGAGCTTAGAATCGGAGCTCAAACTATTGTTATTGGAAATATAGCTCGGTCATTATCCAAATCAACTACAGCCCAAATTCGTAATAAAAAACCTTCGTTTCAGGTTCAGTCCGATGGATCTGAGTAAAACCAACGACAGCGATTCGAACAGCGACTCGGAGTTTAACGAAAACTACCCGAATTCCGACAACGATGACGAGGCGAACGAGAACAGCAGCGAGAACGACTCAAAAATTCCACAAAGTTTCTCGATTCATACTTTATCGAAACCTCACGTGCCGGATTTTTCTCAGAATCCGCCGCATTTGAGTCAAGAGCAAGTGATGGAGATGAGGCAATACGCTATGAATACTATGAGGGAGCTGTTGGGCATTTACGGATTGACGTCTGAGGTGTTCGAGAGCATATCCAGGCAGCTGCCCATGGCTGCTTTTAGCACTGGTAAGTCTTTTTTATATTTAACTGATGAATACAGGCATTCATTGGCCAATCCAACTTGTAAAAAATAAATACAACCTAACGCTGATCTAAATTAAAAAAATGTCAGCTATACAGTGTGATTGTGTCAAAAACTTAATAGGTATTAATTACTAATCGCTAATGGTTACAAATTAGAACTTAGGATCATTGGGATTTTTAAATATATTTAAAAATAAAAGTGGATTTATAGCAATGTTAAAAAAAATTATAACTCTTAAACAATCAATAATTGACAGCTTTTACTGAAGCATTTCATCTTTGGCTAATACTGTTGAAAGTATGTCGCGTTACATATGATTCAGACGTAAAAAGAAGCATTGCGGTCGCTTGCCTCTACCTCCTGCATTGGTCTCGAATTCTCAAATGGTACCTTAACTTGCCAAGGGAAAGAAAATAAAAAAACACAAATTTATTATTTTTTCCCTGTATAAAGAATCTCTCCTGTAACTTACAGTTTCTATACCATCTAACTTGGACAAAATAATAAACCGGAATAGAATAAATTTGACAGATCTCAAGACTCTAAATAAACATTCAATATTTATTTTTATAACAAGTCTTTATTGCTTCTATCTTCATTTCGATATTACGGTGTATGTATATAAAATAATACTGTGTGAAAAAGAAACGGTACAAAAACTATATAAATACGTGTATACGTTCGGAGAAATCTTAAATTATATTATTTTTTTAATATCGTCATAATAATTGCTAAATTTATTACTGATTGACGTTTACTTATTGTTAAATATATTCCATTTTATATTTAAAAATTCCGGGTATAAATCGAACACATGTTCGAGTAGTAAAATTGAAGTTTTTATTGATACAGAGTGATCAAATATCTACTAGAGATTATGTTGCTTTGAAGTTATGATTTTTGGCAATTCTTACATAATAATATCAAAAATATAATGAGATTGAGATTATTAGGTTCTGCTGGAGCTCGTGTAAATAAGCATTTTCTACACAGGCTTTTTTTAAAACGATGTACATGCTTGGAACGATTTTCTAGGAACACTCCTCTTTTATCATTATATCTTATTTATGATGTTCTTTGTATATTGATGTTGTGTTTTTTTGATAATTTTCTCTAATAATGTCCTTTGATAATGTTATTAATAATTTTCTTTAATAGTGATATTTGGTAATGTTATTTGATAATGTTCGTGGATAAATGTTCTTTGGTAATGTTTTTAGTAATGTTCTTTGATAATGTTCTTTGATACTGTTCTTTGATAACGTTCTTTGATAATGTTCTTTGTTAACGTACTTTGATAATGTTATTTATCGTTTTTTGATAATTTTCTCTAATAATGGGTAGTGTGAATAAAAATTAAGTATTTGTTTTTACTTGAAAATTGATAACAAATAGTGCTAAATTTCCAATAAATAATTTTTTTTAGCTAAAATTGGTAAATACGAAGTATTTGATATAGACTCTAAGGACTTTAATCAAGGTCCAGAAATTTTATTTTTTTAAATATAATCACTATTTGTTTCTCATTTTTAAGTAAAAGCAAATACTTAATTTTTATTCACAATACACAATGTTCTTTGATAATGTTCTTTGATAATGTTCTTTGATAATGTTCTTTGATAATGTTATTTGATAATGTTCTTTGATAATGTTCTTTGATAATGTTCTTTGATAATTTTTTTGATAATGTTCTTTGATAATGTTCTTTGATAATGTTCTTTGATAATGTTCTTTGATAATGTTCTTTGATAATGTTCTTTGATTACTTTCTTTAATAATGCTCTTTGTTAACGTACTTTGATAATGTTATTTGACGTTTTTGATAATTTTCTCTAATAATGATCTTTGATAATGTACTTTGATCACCTTTTTTGGTAATGTTCTTTGATAATGTTCCTTGATAATGTTCTCTAATAATATTTGATAATGTGCTTTGACAATATTGTATGATAATGGTCTTTGATGATGTTCTTCGACAATGTTCTCTAATATAGTTTTTTCATAATGGTATTGATAATTTTCTTTAATAATGATCTTCGATCATGCTCTTTGATAATGGTCTTTGATAAGATCCTTTGAAAATATTATTTGATATTATATTATCACATGAAAAAAAAATTATGTCTCCCTGCAATAATAATAATTAGAATTGGGTTAAGTTTCTATTACTACTGCTTAAGATGAAAACATGGACCATGATTTTTTTGAACTGTGACCTTTTTCTTACCTTTCTCAAATAACGTTCTTTGATAACGTTTTTTGATAATGTTCTTTAATAATGTTCTTTGATAATTTTTTTGACAATATTCTTTAATAATGATATTTGATAATTTTCTTTAATAATGTTGTATAATAATGTTATTTGATAATGTTCATTGATAATTTTCTTCGACACTGTTCTCTAATAAAGTTCTTTTATAATGTTATTGATAATTTTCTTTAATAATGATCTTTGATAATGTTCTTTGATAATGTTCTTTGATAATGTTCTTTGATGATGTTCTTTGATAATATTCTTTGATAAAGTTTTTTGATAATGTTCTTTGATAATTAGTTCTTTATTAATGGTCTTTGATAAGATTCTTTAATAATGTTTATGACAAGATCATTAAAATTTGATAATGTTCTTCAATGACATTATTTGATGTTATATTGTCAAATGAAAAAAATTATGTCTCATTGCAATAATAATTAGAATTGAGTTTAATTTTTGTTACTACTGCTTAAGATGAAAACGTGGACCATAATTTTTTTGAGCTGCGACCTTTTTATTTTGTTGTTCCTATCTGACTATATTTTTTGTTATGTAACATGAAAGAAAAAATTTATTAGTTATTAAAATAGTAGGAGTTCACTATTCGAACACTATCTTCCAGAAATAAAACATTCCCTTTACCTTACCGATTTGATAATGTTATTTTACGTTTTTTATCATTTTTTCTTGTAATATTTTTTGATAATGTTCTTTGATAATGTTCTTTGATAACTTTATTTGCTTATGTTTTTTGTTAACGTACTTTGTGGTATTTAACGTTTTTAAATAATTTTCTCTAATAATGTTCTTTGATAAATGATTTGTTTTGATAATTTTCTCAAATAATGTTCTTTGATAATGTTGTTTTGATAATGTTCTTTGACAAGATACTTTGATAATGTTCTTCGATGATATTATTTGATGTTATATTGTCACATGAAAAAAAAATTATGTCCCACTACAATAATAATTAGAATTGGGTTTAGTTTCTGCTTAATATGAAAACATGGACCATGATTTCTTTGATCTGTGACCTTTTTCTTTTCTTGTTCCTATCTGACTGTATTTTTTGTTATATAACATAAAAGAAAAAATTAAGACATTTATTAGTTATTAAAATTGTAGGTGTTCACTACTTAAACAAGAAAACATTACCTTTACCTTACCGATATATTCGCAACCTAGCGGTTTTTTTAGAACCATGCAAAAATGTAGCCACTTTGTTCCGACAGTTGAAACCCCTCTCTAGTATACCTTGCCCCTGGAAAACTTTGCCTATTAACAGATTCTTTGTCTAACGAGTTCTGTTTTTCAAATATACGATATTCCCAGGCTACAAAACCAATTAAATATTTTACGCATATACGATAGAATTGCGTGAAATGGCTCGAAGCGACGAATAATTTATTTGTAAAAAAATAATTATTGTATAAACAAAAAAAGCTTTGTCGAGAAAATATTTTGGCGGTGCGAGATTCGTTCAAAAAATCCGTGTCACCCATAAAACGTTCTTCAAATTTATCTACATGTGGGTAATGTCTATAATTATAATAAATTGCCGGCGATTTTTTTCTTTAACATCATATATTACTCTTCATCACATACAGAACGGATATTTCGGTGAAAGCTCGTATAAATCAGGGCTGGATTTGGCCCGAAAACTATTCGCAAAGTTATGATCCTAATTATGCTTCAACGTTTACTTGTAAAAAATAAATTGTTTCAACAGATGTCTGTAAAGTCAAAACCTAACATTCTCATATCCTCTCCCTCTAATACCCCATCCAAACATCCCCCAGGATATCTCCTCTTGCATCTCAAGGAGTAGAAATGTTGGGGGAAGAATGAAACAGTAATACAAATTATGTATGTTGCAGATAAAGTTGAAAAATCGGTTTTATATTTCCTTTAATTTAAGAGTAGCTATACACACGGGTTTAGTGGTTTATAAACGAATCACAATCCTGCAAATTGGCGGTACACATCCCTGCGGACAGTATAATAACCATCTCACATTACAACGCTAGTGTATCATTTGTGATACACCCAGTGGCTTGGCCACCAGTGCCAAGTATCGATACTATTTTCGGAAAGGGAATCGGAACAGAAGTATCAATACCGATATTAGAAGAAGTATCGATACCAGACATCGAGTAAAAACGATATTTTTTATACTCGCCAAAGTACATATTTAGTACAACAAAAAAATTTTCTACATTGTTTTGTAGTATAATGTTAAACCTAGTACTAGTAAGTTTCAAAAACTATTCTAAAAGGAAGTAGTTCCGATTTGGGTAAAGAATCGAAAACCTAATTACCCGGGATCGATGTATCAGTATCGTGTCGGTATTATCATTATAGCAACATCTCTACTAGCGTCCGATGTATCATTTTTGATATACCTCGCATTTTGTATCAGTAAGAACACACCAATATAAGATTTTATATATTTACCCATGGTGGGTTGGGTAAAAAAAGGCCAGTATTAGAAAAAATAAAATAAACAAAAATATATACTTAAAAAACGGTACAACGCACGAAAATGCATGAAAATAATAAAAATGGTTAACAAATACTTAAAAAATATTAAACATAATTATTAAAACAGTAAATTTGGAAAAAAAAAATAGCAAACGCAATAAGTGCACTTATCGTATATTATTTAAGAAGCAATAACTTTTTGCCATCGATAAATTTGACGTTTTTCCATTCTTCTGACATAATTCG